TCCTAAGGCTGGTCCAGTGAAGGAGTAGGGATCACTGCGCCACGCTTACTCTGGTCGCCTGCTTTCTCAAAGGCACATTCCGCGAAAAAATAAGGCTATGACCTCTCAAATGTGTCGGACGATCCCGGAAGACGATTTTTGAGGCTGCGCTACTTTCAAAATGTGAAAAACGGCAAGAACTCCGCTAGAAGCTGACTAATTAGGCCCATGGACACCCCTTAGGCCCATGCCGACAAGCCCTACGACGGCACGTCAAAAATGCCCTACGACGAGCCCTACAACGGCACGTCAAAAATGCCAGTTACAAGGGCCGCAGCGCCCTCGTTATTGGCTGTGAAGCCGCGAAAGTGGTCAACTCAGACAGTACAAACTGCTTACCGCTACTTGCGCGCGACCTCCCGCGAGGGTGGGGTGGATACAGGGCGCAACGGTAATAAACTGCACTCTGGTTATATTTGCACTAATGCGAACACCCATCTTCTATTCTCCTCCTCCTTGACTCCAGTCTTCTTGTGGTTTTATAGGGTAATTGAGTCACTAGAACTCGTCTGTCTGTGAACTGTATTACGAATTTTGCCAGTATAGTAGAATGATCGGGTACTATGTCATGGTTGCTGTCATTTTGTCTTGCTCAATTTGTTCCTGTAGTGTAATATAGTAGAAGGAGCCGCAGTATCGGCCATACCTGGGGGCCTTTTCTCCCTCGCTCCTGATTGATATTTCCCCCATAGATCCGTCGACCCATCTAGAGAGCTGTTTCATGTGCTCACAAGAGTAGCCCGATAGGCTTGCTCTAGCTTCACAGAAGTTCATATTTTCACCAGACAGACCTGTAAACCGAACTAGTGCGGCAAGCTCGCAATGAGTGCAAAGGCCCCTCCGCTGCGCCATCCAAGAACTGCCTTTATCTGCTCTATACCTTCTTACCTTGTCTACAACATGGATGTCGGTCTTCAGATTTGCGGCTCTCCTTCAGTTCATGTTTGTTTGACGGGGAGTCATAGTTTTCGCTGTAAGTACGTGAAAACCCTACATAAAAAGGAGGCCTCAGTTGGCTCGTGGCAAGCCTTTTCAGAGGACAATCAGCTGCGCGACCGGCTTTTTGGCACCTAGACACGACACGACTTGAACAGTGAAGAATCCTACACATTCTTCGAGCGAGGGGCTGTTTTTCACGCAGTGAGCTATTCCGCTCGGCTAGTCTCGTTTCACATGTATCCTCTCCATGGGCTCCAAAAGCATTGCAGTCGTTTACCTGGGGCTGTGGCAACGTAGATACCATGACCAGTGAAACCGTTCATAAGAAATGCCGGCTAGAAATAAACTATACTTATTTAGAATAGAATTAGAATAGTAACACGCCCAAACAAACTGTTGCGACAGTTTATTCATATTAACCCTACCAATCTGGGTAAGTAGGCGTGTATCCGAGGAGAAAGGGAGAGCATTCAGCCGCTCCTCTGTGCTCCGCCTCTAACCAAGATTTCCGCTCAGAGTTTCGATAAGCGACTCTCACTACAGACAGCTCCAATGAAGTTTCAGTAGGAAAAGGATCCAAGGACATCTCCAAGTGGTCTCACTCCCACCCCATTCCTCCCACTACGTTGGCACCCATTAGCGCCACAAGGAAGTATGATTGATCGACCCTAGATAGGAGGACTCCCCTCGATTACGAGGCCGCCTTCATATTTCGGGACTCAATCCAATCGCTCGACTTTTTAATCACGCTCAACTACTAATCGCTGGACAGCTGCAACTACTGTTCTGATAATGCCCTGAATGGAGCTTCGCATACTTTGCAACGGTCCATCGATCAGAACGGGGTCATAAAGACGAATCCACCAGGGAGCGTGGAGTGAGCCTAGCCACGGCGTTTTCTACTCAAACCAACCGGTATCCGCTAGTAGGTAAGGCACCCGCGGGTGGGCTCATAGCACGCCCCCTGATACCGCCGCCGAACTGCGACGAACTATACGAACGCTTGATAACGTCTGGAAAAACTTACCTTCCTGCATTCGGCCACCGCTTCCGTCCACTGTTTAACGTTCCAACCGTTCTCTATAGGTGTTCGTTCCTCTCTCAAATCCCTCTCAGCCACGGATTTCATCGGAGGTCTGAAGTGTCCGGAGGATTCATCGCTATATAAATACAGTCAAAGTTTCAGCCGTCCACTTTTCACAGCGAAGTCGTTCCGCGTAGAAACCAGGGCTGTAGATTGATATGTTGGTTTTAAACTATAGGCTTCTATGGAGGGTCGTGAATGGAAAGGGACAACATCATCAAGTGGGTAAGGATTTTCAATCTTCTCCTCCTTACCAATTTTATGATATGGTCACATACTGTTCACGAGACTTATATCAATTCGACTGTATGCAATCTATACCGTCCAGATTGCTGAGTCAGACTCAGTACTACCTACTTCTTTGGACGGCGAGTCCGGCTAAGGCAGGCGGGCGCAATTTGATCGTGGACTGCTTCCGATCAGTCGAAATCTTTCAGCTAAAGTTGCATTATACTTTGTGCCAGCGAACCAGCAAGCGACAATCAGCGTTCCGGGCTCCGCAGCGTGCAGCAACTAGGAAACGTTGATATCAGTCTAGCGCAGCGGCAGCGTCTGACCAGGTGTCACTGAGCGACCCATCAGAATCTCGAGGGACTAGGAGAGTGATATCGATACAGTGTGTACGAGCGTCCATTGGCGTCTAGCAGGGACCAGGAGTAGAGAGTATGGGGAAATAAAAGGGAGGAGACAGCTGGGATTAGGCGTCGTGAAATTGCGGCCTGTGCAACCGCACCGTATCGCTACACAATACCTTACACCTGGTCGCTGGTGGATGCTGGTAAACGCTGCGCCGTCGCTAATGATAATCTATAGTTTGCGCGCTAACGTCTGAGCGGACGCTCGAAGCGCTGACGGTTCGTTGCTTGGACGCGGCCGGCAAGGTCATGAACGCCGCACCCGCGGTCGCGGGAGCACTCCCTTTGTAGACTGCTACGGCAGCTCCAACGATTCGCTGTCCTGTGCTACCTCCTTGACTTTCAACACACTACTATCCCTCCGCCTTATGGGAGTCAGTCATCTGCGCAGATGAGAGGGGGGGTAAGAAAATTCCCAACAATCCAGTTACTCAGACTCGGTTACTTCAACTAGGACAAAGCCGAGGCTCTGTCACAGAAGCAGGAGCGCTGGCGTCAGCCAGCTATCCTGCTGGTTTCTGCGGTGCTTCAAATGAAAAAATTCCCAGTACCCCAACCTAACATTTAGTCAGAAAGGACAAATGTTCGAAGCTCTCCATTTCAGTGACCCGTCATTTCGGCAAGTAATAAGTTGATGGACGTGGTTCAGGTTCCCTTTTTTGAACAGTATCGAAGTGTCCATATACCATATGGCCTTGAATTCAATGAGTGCCTCCTGAATGTCCATTATACTCGTTTTGTATTTAGCTGAAATTCCACGAACAAACGTCAAATTGACTGGTTCCGGACTGAAGGAACTCACAGCTATCATAAGCGGTTTCCAACGATACTCTTTCAAACTCGCGACATATTCGGGATACCGTGTGAAATCGAATTTTCGGAATTCCATGAAAGAATGTTTCTTAACAGCATCTGGTTAGATCGCTGTCGTGACCAAGCTCTCTTCTTTTAAAGTGAACTTCTCACTTTTTGTGACCATGAGAACGCAGGCGTTCCAACAGGGGACTGTCGGGAGACGGCAGCTTTATTTGCCCTAGCTGATCACTTGACATACTGTCGCACTTCTACGTAAGACCAACTAGGTTCTGGGTCAAATGTCGCGCACGTGGTCTCTTGCATTGCCGCTTTCGCGTCATCCGTACCATGGACCTCCTCACTGTTAATCAAATTGCACTGGCTTCCCAATACAGTCAATGGAATCTTATCCCACACGACAAAACTTCTTGCCCTTCAGCGATTCGTCTATATATCCTTTTTTAGGAGGAACTGTTTGAACAGGAACTGAAGACGAAGAACTGTTTTTCCTTCAACAGAGCACATCATTGAGGAGGATTCCCAAACAGAGGGGGCGGGTCATAATTGGTCCGGGAGCTTTTTTTGATGGCCGATTTTTTTACGGCCGCTATAGGGGGGGGTCGTATTCGCTTGTTGTTAGAAGGGAGGTCGTATCTGCCTTCTGACCGAGGTTGTTGACTTTCCGTTGTTTTTCCTGTTTCACATATGCATGCCCCCCCCGCTCGATAGCTCGATCGTATCAGAGTCAGAGGAGGGAACTAGGGGGGGGGGTCCCATCAAAGCCATCGTTCTGTGTAGACTCGACCAAAATCTCCAACCAATGATGTCCTGCTCTTCAACCATTGTATAGGTCAGATACGTGTTCATGTGCGTCTATGGTAATTAATTCTAATCGGGGTCGAGTTTTCGAACAGTGTTCTCGTTGTTCCCATTATATGGTTTTTATCCGTTGTTTTGTTTGGCCTCCTTTTTATTTGGAAGGTTATTCTTGTTATTTCGACTTGCTTCTTTTTCTACCGCGCAACAGAAGAAGCCCGGTGAAAAATAGAAGTACAAAAATTTGGCCTATACAGTGACGTGAGAGTCAGCCGATGAGATCGGAAGCGGTTCAGCAACAGTCATGTATAATTAGTGTTCTCTATTGTCCCGGAGAACCTATCAGACCGAATTCACAGGCTCCCCAGTGTAGACGCTTGTTGGGCTAGTGGAGGCAATATCCAAGGTCGTAACGTTCAGTACCTTCCGCACCAGTCACTTGTCGCATACCACTTGCCGTTTAACCTCGTCATCCGGGCAGTTGATTAGGGCGGTCGTCAACGGGCCGCAGCGCGTGCCAGGAACTATTTGCTTTTCCAGGCTAATTTAGTCATTTTTCCACCTTGAAAGATAAGGAGCTGCTAATCTGGGAATAAATTATCATAAAACAGTGAAAAATTGAAAAAATGAATCTAAATTAGCTGTGAAAAACAAGTAGTTTCTTGCTACGCGTTGCGGCCTCGATTGACGCCACCGCCTAATCACCGCCCGATGACGAGGGATAACATTTGTTGAAGGATCAAAAACCATGCCTAACCTTTAACATGGTACGTTAATCTTTCCTAATTCATACACAATCATCATCCGCTCTATCTTGAAAATGTTCGCTATTTGAGCCGCATTCTGAACAGAACTAATGTCCTATAAATGGAATTGATCACTGCGAACGACACTCATAGGTTTCCTGCTTTTTCTGATTCAACTATACCGTGAGCTCGTTTTACAGGAGATTTCCGTACTAAGGAATATGGTTGTGCTATATGCTGAATGCGATATGCTCATTGCCTTCACCGGGTATGTGACAAGAGAATCATAACTCGCAGCGTCGTTGGGCGTCGCGTGCAACGGTGGTTCCAGGTCGTAGATGGCGACAACAGGCAATTCAGAACCGAAAATAGTCATGAATGTCTACGATGACGGGGTCTACATGAAGTCCGGTGCTCCAGTCGACAGGTTAACACGAGTTAAGAAAACGCCGCGCCCATCCGCGCGCGGCGGAGCGGCAAATTACGATTCTCTTGCCCGTCTTCCGGTTTCACCATGGAGCGGTGCGTTGGGAGCCGACAGATTTCTCCCCCGGTCAATAATAGGGTTGTACCCGGATAATACGACTCCCTCTTCTAGCCATCTGCCTTCAAATAATTCCCGATTACAGGGCATCGCTCTTCTCTTTCGCCCTTCACGTCAATGCTAAGGACCAGCACTTCATAGCCGACGCCTTGAGCATTACGCAAGGGTACCTAGGAGGTGGGAGCTTTTCTGGGTATCCAGTCTTGTTCGCTGCGGAAGATGGGCGTGTCAAGGGCGGTGGGCTTGACGCAGCGCCATCCTGTTTTTTTTTGTCTTTTTGGAGCAGCAAGGCTGCATCACATCGTTCGTATCAGTTGTTTTCCACCAAGTGCTGTCGCTTACCCGCTTCGGCAAGTGATGGAGGATGGGCTCGCGGCGCGTCAACGCAGGTGCCCTGACACGTCCCATCATCCGCGGCAAAAAAGACTGTAAGCTAGGCAGATCCAGAACTGTGGAACAGCACTTCTTTCCCTAGTCGAAAGTGCGCGGAACTTGAGCTTGATACATACGGGGCGGATACGGACGTGTCGCACATAGGATGGGATCTAGAGATGCAAATTATGACCCCCCCCCTCCCCTCCTACTTAGCTAACGAACCACAAGCTCGAGCTCAATAATCTCGCGGTATGCGTCCTTAGTAGTTTCTACCACTGCTTCACTCCATGAACTGCTTTTACAATAAAAGTAGGTGATTTAACATCTAGGGAATGTAGAAAGTTCATACAAGGTATACAGCCTCTCCTTCATGATTCTCTGAGAACGCAGCGACGAACATTGGATCAATACTGCCTGGTGCAAAAGGTAGTGCATTCAATAAATTTTTCCATTCTTCCTTATAAGTGTTAACTAATTCGGCGTCATTGTTACAACTCTTGAAAACCTCACAGCTACCCTTTTTAGGTTGAAGTTCTTGTTTCGAAGACGTAGGGGTGGGGCAAAAAAAGATCACTTGGGCGAGTGACAAAGTTTACGCAGCGCAGAGAGAAGACGCGAAGACGAGTACCAAGGTGGAAGATACTCAAGATGTTCCTCGATAAGCAGGAGCAGGCTCTCGTCCATCACCTCCATGCACATCTACATATGAAGCCATCCCTAATCGCAGCCTAACTGGAGAAGCCCTAATGAAGTTCACGTCACCCGCCCACAGCTGCGAACTTCTGTATGAGCACTACTGTAAGCCTACTGGTACGGGACACTCTTGAATCTGGAAACTCCAACTTCGCAGCTGGAAAACCGCCACAGCTCCGACAACGTGGCTACGGGTCCAAGATATCATCTTGCTCTACGAAAGGTCAACGACGAACTTCCTGAGAAGTAGGAACACGATCAATTTCTTCGGTGAACTTGGACTGGAAAGAGTAACACGAGGTTACATTCGACCAATATCGAGGAGAATCCTGCCTTAATGTCGTCGCCTGTACCGTCTTGGAAACTTCGTACTGCTACAGGATTGGGTGCCACCATGGAATGAAGGGCGTTGGAAAAACTCTCGCCTACTTGGAATGGAAGGGCGTTGAGTACCTGAAGAAGATGGAATATCTAAGCAGGTCACCTGACCTGAACCCCTCAATTACCTGGTTCGGGCGGAGTTCAATAGGGTGGTCTACAGTGGCGGAGAAATCAACGATCTCGCTGAACTCAGGCACCGAATCACGGTCGCGTGGCAGAATCTCTCGATGGCGCTCGTCCAGAAGGCTACGGCGTAGTGGCGGAGAAATCAACGACCTCGCTGAACTCCGGCACCGTTGCGTTGTGTTGCAGAATCTTTCCATGGCATTCGTCCAGGCTGTGGTGGCCTTTCGTGATCGTGTGCAATGCGTTGTTGAATTTGATGGTGAAAATGTCAACCAGATTTAATAAAGTGTAACTTATATCGCCTTGAAAGTCGAGGAAGAAAAGTGTCTTTTTGCCCCCTGTACATTATCACTGCAAACGAAAGGGCGTGTGAAAGGGCTATGACTAGAGCGCAGCCAGGCCAACCATTGTGTTCCCATTTTCAATGACGCATGACGTTCTTGAAGGCTCTGTAATCCCTGTTCTCATAGCGAAAATAATTCCTTCTGAAACGCTGGAATCCTGGTGATTACGGTCAGTAAATATATGGTCATGGTATCATCCGGAATCGGTACCATGCTTTGAAATTTCGCATACTGCCAAGCATGTTGAGAATTCCTTGTTAAACTAAATCATAATGTGGAATGATGTCATTGCACCATTAGTCTAGCTGTCTGGGAACGAAGGACTGGAGAAAAACCAGAGGGGTAGCATTACAAAAACTCTGGACTGTAGCGAATACCATTTTGTCAGAACCCTTGTTCTACCACCAGGGTACAGCATCGCTGTGTGAGAAACATGGGGTGGGGGTCGTACCATTCGGCTGCGGGAGAAGGGGGGGGGGTCGACTTTGGCGTCACTGTTGGGAAGAGGGAAAGATTATTCTTCCTCTGGTGTTGACTTTTCGCGTGATTTATTTCTCCTGTTTAATGTATGTACTGTTCACCCCGCCCCCCTCACCCCGCTCGACAGGAAAAATCTATGCCGTGAAAACGGAAAATGCGGAATTGGTAGGTAGGGCTGCGGGAAGGTCGGGAGGGGGCGTCGTATCAAGACCCTCCCTTGGAGAGGTGGGGGGGTTTCTTGTACGGCGCTTATCGTTCCACACATCACGGGGGGGGGAACCGGCGGCGGGGGGGGGGGGTGGTGGCGCTCGTCTGACCACCTATGGGTGGGCGGGGGGATGACCAGGGGTGGGCGAGGAGAGGAGTGGCAGGTCGGGACTGTGTGTGCTCGATGGTGCAGAGGTGCAGGCGTGCGGCGTTCGGGGCTCGAGCGCAAGCTGTGTGTGCCCTGCCTGGGGGTGCCGGTCGAGTTGGGGGGTTGGAGGGGCGTGGGTGGCGGCCAGGGCTGTTATCGGTTGGGTTGGCAGGCGTGGTTGCGGGGGGGGGGGGAGGGCGGTAAGAAGAGGAGGAATTAGGTCATGATGGGGCG